TGAAAAGTATGGCTCATGGTGCAGACTGAACTCAGAGCACTTTAGAGCCTTAAACCTGAGAGAATTCTGCCACAGAACTACATCCTTGGCCCCCAAATTGATTTTCTAGTAAAGAGTGGAAAATAGTTCCCAGTTACCAGAGACTGGGAACGATTCTAGGAATGGATGAATGATGGCTAATGGGCTCAGGGTAGATCTGCACAGGAGAAATAATTACTCTTTTTTAAAAAAATTCTACTTATTTTGTTTGCGACAATGTCTCATTATATAGCCCTGGTTGGCCTGAAACTTTCTATGTAGAAGAGATTGGTCTCAAACTCACAGAAACCTCTGCTTCCTGATTGCTGGGATTAAAATAGACTATAGCTAGCAGAGAAAAAAAAACAAAGGAATGATAAATATTTGAGATGATGAGATATGCCAACTACCCTGCATTAATCATGGCACAGCATAAATATGTGGTAAAATGTCACACTGTACCCCAGAAGAATGCACAACTACATGGAAATTAGAAGTAAAATTAAAATTAAAAAATAAAAATCCATTGAAACAGTTGTCCTAGAACATCCCATGGCATTTTGCTATGAGAGGTGGGCTAATTTCATTTAAAGAGTTACAGAAACACTGCATCAGGGAATTAGAGTGGTGGCTCGGGGGTTAAGAACACTTGCTGCTTTCTAAGAGGACCAGAGTTCAGGTCCCGCGCCCCACCGGGTGGTTTGCAACCACTCGCAACTCTAGCTTTCCAGCGGCTGAGGCTTTCCTTCTGCCTCTGCACCCATGCGGCGTGTACATGAACACAGAGAAACAAATGTAAATCTTAAAAAAGAAACTTACCGTGTCGATGCTGCCCTATAAAGTATTAATCAAACTAATTAGTCGCCCTAAGGGATTTGAGTTGCCAGCATCATTTCCCGTTCCCTGCTCCCTCCATAACTGTTTTGTGTGTGTACCAGTGTGATGTATTTGTCGGAGTAGTGTGTTGACGCGTTAAAAATGGCAATCAATGGTTGATGAGAACTTGTTTCCAAAGGTCAGCCTTGCTGCTTAGCTAAGATGTTTTTGTTGCCTTTTAAAAACAGAATTGACCAGTTAATACTGTTAAATTGACTTGAAGACATAACCTGAATACTGCCCTCACGTGCCTTTAGTTTCTGTTCATGCGAGGGTAATGTTGAGTCTGTAGAAAAAATGTCTTTATTGATTGCCGTGGCAGCAGCAAGCCCGTGGAAACGTAAGTGTGATGGCTGGAGACCGATCCCCAGGCTACCTCTGCTAGCGTCAGTGTTCCCCTTCTCTGCCACACAAATACTGACCTTGTCCTAAGCATGTACTGGGAACATACACAGGAAGCAGGAATGGGTTCTGAACCCTGGAGCATCCTTTCCCTGCTGAATGCAATCTATGAACTAAATGAACACGGTAAAAGACTTCCATGTTTTGCGGCTCCCAATTCAAACTCTTGTTCCACTCTCGGGGCTGGGCGATTACTAGCTTGGAAGACGGCTTCCCCGACAAGCATGAAGACCGAGTTCAGATTCTCAATACCCACACGGAAGCCAGATGTGGAGGTCCGGTTTGTAATCCCAGGACTGAGATCTGAGAAACTCACCGGCTAGCCAGTGGAGCTGAGCTGATGCAGTTCATGCGCGGTGAAGAGACCCAGGCAAGAAATAAGATGGGGATCACTAAAGGCCAACACCCAGTATCAATCTCCGGTCTCTAATAAACAAACAAACAGACATTATTATGGATGCTAATTTTACATTTCAAGATTTCTGCCAAATCAGAATTTCAGTACGTGAAATACAGTGGTTTTGAGGCCTTAGTTGCTGGGTAGCACGATGAACTCGTTTGTCCACTAGAGGGCTCCCTAACATGTGAAACTTAAGCAATGCTGTCTATAATGAAAAGACAAACTTCTGGAGAACAACGTATTTAAAGAAATGAATGAAGATCATAAAGAATAAAAATAAAATAAACCTCATCTCACTAGAGCCATGTCTTGTTGGAGACCACAGAATAAAAGTGATGTTTATTTCGTATTGATTGATTGACAGAGTCCTATCCATACCCTTACTTAATTCTAGCAATGGGCTTCAGAACGAGAAATTCGCCATAGAAAACATGAATACTACTTTGTTTTACTATGGACACTGATGCTATGGGAAGAGATTGGATTTTCCAGGCCCACTTCACTAACAGTGCTGGAGTGAGAATCAGACCCAAGATCCCTACCCGCAATCTCAGGTTCCAAAGTCGCTGCATTGAATTTTAAGATGCTGTGTAAATTCTAAAGGAAACTCTAGCTTCTGAGAGTTCAAAAACCACTGCTTTCATTGTTTTGAACAAATGTGTACATCATCATCATCATCATCTTCTTCTTCTTATATTCTTCTTCATCTAAAATCTAAGTATTGACCCCCATGATTACAACTCTCACTATGACAAAAAGTAAAATTTTAGTTCTTGGCCTAGAAAATGCATAGGCTTTTTATAATTGCTGGTGGGAGAAAGCTCTATAAATAAAACAAAAGAAAAGTTGCTTCTTTCCCCCTGCAGCTTTAGGGGGAAAGCCAGATGGCATCGTGCACCATATCATGGTACTGCAAAGCTTCTTCTGGAGACAAGAACCCCTGGACCTGAGATATTGACGTCACAGTCTACACTAAGCCAGAGGGTCACCAACCTTGCTTCTCACCTCACACTTATGTGTGGTGCAGTCACTCAGAACACATGCATGCACACACATATGCAATACTCCTGCACACGTATATCCACATGCAAAAATGTGCATACACACATGTATATACAACATGCACATATGAAGCTAGAAAAAGAAAGAACTTGAGAATCTCACCTTGCATGGATGAACAATGCCCACATGTGTGCTGCCTACACAGTGTTTTGAGATAATCACACAAAAAATGTTTTCTAGACTATTTAACTGACATTGTTTTTCTCCACACTCTCCTCTCTAGCCTGACTATGTGATTTTGAGTTTGCTGTGGTTATTACTAAATAAAGAATTAAAGTTTGGTAACTGTATCTATACTCATGCTTAATGCTCATGGCTCTGCAGTTGGTTCAGTAGGAGCCATTGGACTGCCAGAGAGAAGCCCAAGGTCATGCTTTGGTTACCTTCCTCCTAAATCTATTGAGCATGGTCTTTGCTCCATTGGTCCAAGACTCTCCAGATGACTGCCCCTCCAGCCATGATGACAGTCAATTCACCCTTGATGGATAGACACTCCTGTGTATGGCTTAATGAAATGCTGATTCTATTCCTCCAGGACGGAGCTCACTGGCAAAAACAAAAGGCTGAATTCCAAACTGCAATTGCTCATGACAAGATCTGTGTGGCAGCCAAAAGCTGGGAAATGAAAACATATTTGTTTCTCTGTCTTCATTCACAGCATCCTCAGGAGATGAATGAGTTGGGCTTGAAGGTATTAAGAAGAGTGGAATAGTTGTTTCTTCTCGATGCTCCGCTCACCCTATGTCTGCCTCCAGTCCAGCTCTCGTCCTCTGAGAGGTTCTTCTTTGTTTCCATCCCAAGCATAGGACCTGTATCTTGTTTTCATATAACCTCACTGCTTAGCATAGTTGGTACCATTTATTAAATGAATACATATACTAAAGCCTGCAAAAGAAAAGACAAATAGATCACCATGTGAAGGCTAAATGAAAAACTCCAACTATGTAAGGGAAAAAATACCTAAAGTGTTTGGCTCAGAGAATACAAACTTTGGACATCTTTTATTGGAATAAAATCTCGAAGTCAGTGCTGAGTAAACCTCTCAAGAGTGTAACAAGAAAAGCATGCATATAATAAAGAATCCATCTGGGGTTTTAATATAAGCATGAATTTTGGGGGGAAAGACACAATATGGCATGACAAAAACCACACCTGTCACTGTTATTAGACAATCTCCAGAAAGGAAAGATTTACAGAGTCTCTTGGCCAGAGAGTCTATGAGAAAGAAGTAAATTTTCCCCAAGACAACAAATGAAACTCTCAAGTGGGATGTGATATTTTTTTTTAAGCCTTGATCTCACATGAGCCCATGTTTTAAAAATCTGTAAAACAATCATTTGGCATAAATTAGTTTTCTGTTACTGCACACCTCCCATCCCCCTTCTTCTGGGAGAGTTGCAGATTCTGCAGACTTGGGGCTCCTCTGTGTTCACCCAGCCTGAGGAGCCTGGGGAAGGATGTGAGCTCCATCCGGTGTCTGGACTGGGTCTCCCTTTCCTTTGCACAGGAAGATTGCTCTTTACTCCCTCAGCCCTAAGTGCAGGGTCGGATGCTTCCTCCATCACTGGATCTCTGTATTAGCTGTTCCTTCCAGGAACCCTTCTCCTCCTTGTCTGCCATTTAGTAGGCAGATTTCACATCAGCCAATACTCTATTTTACATATGATTCCAACTGGGATAGCCTTTAAATTTCATAAAGTATTATATACATAATCCTTTAAAGTACTTACCAGGTGTGGAAGAGGGAGTGTTAACTATTACAGATTACCTATTAAGGTAACCTAGGCCAGGACAGTCAAGTGCCTTGTGTAGACTTAGCCTAGGTCTGAATTTAAATAAACTAATTGCCAAAAGGCTTTCTTGATTGAATTAAAATCTGAATATAAAATAATAATAAGGAATAAGTATAAAAATTGAATTTATCTCAAGTTTAGTATTTATGTTTGTGTGTGGTTGATGTATGTTTGTGGTGTGTGCTTCATGTGCTCATGCAGAGGCTACAGGAGGGTTTCAGGCCAGGCATCAGGCCATATCAGCCCCTGCTTACTGATGGGGCCTCTCCTGGGACATGGAGCTGAGCGAGATCAGTCGTCCTCCAGTCCTGGCTCCCCACGCGAGGCTCAAATGTTACTCCTACCATGTGTGCTTTAGCATGTACCTGTAAACAGCCTTAATTAATGCAACTAGAATGTATATTTTAAGTAATAATCACTTAAAAATAGACTTGAAATGAGGAGATGGCTTAGTGGGTAAGGTCCCTTGCTATGCAGACATCAGGATCTGTGTTGGAGGAAGGGAACCAGGAGATTGGCAGAGATTCACCCTGTAGGGCGATGATGTGGTCCAAATCTGCTGCTACAGGCACGCCCTGATAACTGAGAAATACGCTCATTGACTGTCATTATCAACAGTAGACACGCCAACCCATAAAGGATAACCTGTCACTAACTGTGGCCATAAATTGTCTCTCAATATTTCATACCGTAATAAATATCTTTCAGTCACTTTAGAACAAAGATCCCCTTTTCAACCAGGAAATGGTTTAAATATACTTCAAAGCCTCAGCCAGATGGAAGGACCACTTTGGCCCAGTGAGATTACATCCTCATACTTTTAAATCACGACCTCCTCTTCAGGGAAATTCCCGCACAGCTTCATCCCGTCACTGATATCTCAGTTCCCATTCATCACAGGCCTGGACTCAGTCCCAGGTCATGGTCTGCTTCTGAGGCACATATAGTACTTTATTAATGAGAAAGACATTCTGTACAGAAACAATAGCAAACTGTGGTTTTTCTGTTTTGTTTCTGTAAGGGCCACAGTTGATCTGAGAAGATTGGGGCCTTTTTCCTCACAGGCTCTGTTAGATGAATACAGCTATATCTGGGGTCCATTTCAGGATCTGGGCAGTGCTGGTTCACAGTGTCCTGCATACAGAGCGTTGATCTGAATATCTTTAAGGGAAGGGAGAGGAAATCAATTTGAGAGGCATCATAGTAGACCTTTTAATTTAATAAGCAATTATTTCCTAAATGCTTCTGTAAATATAGTGTTGATTTCTTGAATAATTTTCTTTTCTTTAATGGCAACATATCAAAGTCTATTCATTTTCATGTTTGTTGAAAATATCAAACTATATAAAGGTTTAAATACTATTAATGTGATTTAAAATATGGGTCGGGAGAGATGGCTAAGAAACTGTTATAAAGCTGTGACCGAAAACCTTACACAAAGCTTCTGAAGGAATAAGAATTTATTTGGCTCAGAGTTTATGGGTACAGTCCATTACAGTAACCAGGACATGTGACAGGAGTGGGAGTGGCCAGAAGCTGCAGTGACAGGAACATGAGTTTTCTTGTTCACATTTCTCTAGACCAGGAAACACAGACAGGAAAGGTAGTGGGATTAGGGTAAAAGACTCAAGCTCCATGCCGCTCCAACATCCAGGATCTGTCTCTAGTAAAGCAACATCTTCCAAAGGTCCTGCAACCTTCCCAAGACAGTACCATAAGGTGGGGACGAAATGGTCAAACACATTTCATAAACAAACTAGAATACCGGTTCAGGAGGCTAGCCCACTACTCTCTAAGACCTGCTTCCACACACCTTCAGGGTGATAGACGCCAGCCTCCCTTGGCCACACATGGCAGCGTCTGTGGCAGACAGAAAGGCAGAGGAGGAAGAAGAGGATGTGGGGAAGAAATGCTGGTGTTTGGCTGTTGGCAGTTTACCAGGCCAGAAAACAGAGAACAGACATAGCGCAAGGATGTGCCACAGTCGGGGCCGGAAAGGGTTTTCCCATCCTCCTTTGCATGTATATTCAAAGTGTTATTACAGCCCATGCCAGTGGGAAATCCTGTGTTTTCTACCCTGACCAAACAGGATTAAGTCCCCAAAGCTTAAAAATGAAAACCTTTCTCACTCTCTACTATAAAATAGATTTTCTTTCTCCTTTCCATAGTGATAACCAAATGAAAAATACATTTAGCTCAGATCTGACACCAAGTGCTTTATGAATCCAGCAAAATCAGATTTAGTATTTTGTCACATATTGATCTCCATGAAAATCTCATGAGCTACCTGTGACTTCGTTCTGCTCCATATAAATAATTAAATTTTAATACAATAATTTTCATGTCCCAAGTACATAGTAATATATTCGGTTGTGGCTATCGATTAGCTCAGCCTTCTCAAGGCCTTTCTGAGGATGGCATTTAAAATATATAAACAAAAAAAATTCCCCTGGACTTATGCCTGCTACACAGTAGCATCTAATTACTGCATAACAAATGCTGCCAAAAAGCAAATTTGGATATAATGTTCAAAAGAGCTGAAACAACGGGAATACAAAGAGCTGGTTTAGTTATTTTAGCCCTTCAGCAATTCTAGCTATTGTTCAAGGCTCAACATAGAAAAAAAATCTATTATTTCCCAGAATGGAAGATGCATTTTTTTTTCTTTGCCACATTCTCACTGCCCTAATTTTAACTAGCTGATCATGGTCAAAAAAAATTAACTTCTGATTAAATTCCCCAGAAAAATGCTTTCTGTGCTGCCTTAGAATGTTTGTCAGACCCAAACATATGAGCAATAAATGCATCCTCAGATAGGAGATGCTTTCTGCATAAAACCAACTATTTCTTCACACAGTTCCATTCAAGGATGAAGTCACTTTTGTGAAAGTGATTGTCAAGTAGTTACCAGAAATTAACTGTTAACTAAGAGCACTGAGCACTGGCATATTATTAGAAAGAAACACATCTATCTATCTATCTATCTGTCTGTCTGTCTGTCTGTCTGTCTGTCTATCTATCTATTATCTGTCTGTCTATCATCTATCTATCTATCTATCTATCTATTGTCTATCTATCATCTATCTATCTATCTATTGTCTATCTATCATCTATCTATCTATCTATCTATCAATCTATCTATCTATCTATCTATCTATCTATCTATCTAGATTTTCTTTTGGGACCTGTAGAGATGTCTTAGTGGTTAGGAGCATGTAGTGGTGAGATGAGCAGGCCTGCTTTTCATCCAGCTTAGCCCTGGAAATAACAACACACAAATTGTATTTTTTTAAACACTGCCTGGCCCATTATATCTAGCCTCTTCTTGGCTAATTCTCACATCTTGCTTTAATCCATATTTAGTAATCTGTGTAGTACCATGAAGTGGTGGCTTACCGGGAAAGATTCAGCATGTCTTACCTGGCGACTGGCTCCATAGCGTCTGACCCAGAGAGAAGAGGCATGGCAATTGCCTAACTTCCCTTCTTCCCAGCATTCTGTTCTGTTTACTCCACCCACCTATGTTCTGACCTATCAGGCCAAGCAGTTTCTTTATTAATTAACCAATGAAAGCAACAGATAGACAAATGACCTTCCCACATCAGTAACACTTAATACTTTTACAGAAAACTCTGGTTCAATTCCCTGTACCCATGTGGCTGTTCAGAACTGCTTGCAGTGCAAGCTCCAGGGGGTCCAACTCCATCTCTGGCTTCTGCAGGCCCCTGCAAACACATGGTACGTGTATACTCAAGCACATTCACACACATACAAAAGTAAATAAAGTTTCTCATAATTTGTTTTTATTCATGTATGTACATATGTGCATGTATGCCCACAGAGGTCAGACGAGAATGTCAGATCCCCTGGAGCTGGAGTCACAGGTAGTTGTGAGCACATGACATGGATGCTAAGAACCAAGATCTGGCTTTCTGCAAGAACACCAAGTACTCTAAACCACTGTACAACTTCAAATTGTAATTTCTGGCTGGGGGCCAGACCTCCATGTCTTAGCTTGGATACTTCACATTAATCAATTATACATGTCAGTTTCTTTGTGCCAAGACTCTAAAAAGACTTTTATGCTGGATAAATAAATAAAACCACATGTAGATGACTTTGTGCTTTGGCATATATATCCCCTACCACTTCCTGAGGTCTCTGACATAGGCATGCCTGTGCACACAGTATTTCCTGTGCACATATCAATGCCCCATGTCTGTGTTCACCTCATCCCACCTCCCTGCCCACTCAGTCAAAAAACATGAACAAGTGTTAAGTATATTCTGGTATTACGATGTATGAATTATTGCAATGTATGAAAGAAAATTAGTTTGACGTTGTCAAGCAGGACTGTAGCATGCATTCTAATAGGTCTTAACAATAAAGGCCTGGGGGTCAGATATTGGGGAAAATGCTGAGAGATCAGAGAGATGAAGGAGCAGAACCATGGCCACTTTACCTCTCCACTTCCAACTGAAAAGAAACTGCCTTCCTATTTCCCCCATCCTATCACTTCCTCTTTCTGCCCAGCCATGTCACTTCCTGTCTCTTTGTATTGACCTCCAGCCCTCTATGGTTAGCTAGTGGCTAGCTCTCCCCTCTCATTTTCAGACAAGCTTTATCTATGCAAACAGGATACCCAGGACCAATAGCTGGAACTGATGCCATGACAGAGCTAATGACATCTGTGCATGCTGAGGTTGGTCTAGCATTCTGAGCGTTCAGTGTTACCTTTATTGTACATAACAGCATTTTACTGAGTGATGGGGTCTTCATCAGATGGCTGAGGAGCTCTGAGAAGCTAGACTTGGGTTTAGTTTATGTAGTAGGACATTACTGTTTAATGAAGGTCAACAGTGAATCATTGCTTTGGTCCCCATTGATATCCTATTATCACAGTAATAATCATATTACCATGTTCCCCTGACAAGAGAAGAGACCTGCTTTAAACACTTCTGGATGAAACCCTGATCTTGTGACTTGCTTTAATCAAAAGGCACTGGAAGGGACAGCACTGTGCAAGTTCTAAGGTGTGTGTGTGTGTGTGTGTGTGTATGAAATTGTGTATGTGAGTATGTGTTTGAGTGTATGTGAATGAATGCACGATTGTAAGTATGCATGTATGTGTAAGTGAATGTGTGTATGTGAGTATGCTTGTGAGTGTGTGTGAATGCATGTATGTGAGTATTCGTGTATGTGTGAGTTAATGCGTGTATGTGAGTATGTGTGTGAGTGTGTGTGAGTATGCGTGTGAGTATGTGTGTGAGTGTGAGTGAATGCCTGTGAGTATGTGTGTGAGTGTGTGTGAGTGAATGCATGTGAGTATGCGTGAGTGTGTGTGAGTGAATGCATGCATGTGAGTATGTGTGTGTGTGTGTGCACATGTATGCATGAGTAGGTATGAGTAGGTGTGTGTGCATGTGTGAGTGAGTGATGTGAGATTCCCTTCTGTATGCTATAAATGTTTTTATTACCATTGGTTAATAAAGAAGCTGCTTTGGCCTATAGCAGGGCAGAATATAGGTAGGCAGCAAAACTAAACTGAGTGCAGGGAAAAAGAAAGCAGAGTCAGGCAGATGCCATGTACCTGATGAAGGAGAAAGACGTCAGAACTCTACCAGTAGAAACGGGCTATTTTAAGATGTAAGAGTTAGCTAGGAATATGCCTGAGCCATCAGCCAGTGTTTTAATTAATATAGTTTATGTGTGATTATTTGGGTCTGGGTGGCTGGAAAACAAAAGCACAGTCTCCACTTAAAAATGGTGCCCATAATGGAGCAAAAAATCCACATTAAACCTAAGAAAGTTATTTTAAAAATGGGCATCTAGACCCACAAAAACTGGAGCCAAGCACAGCTTTTGGTAGCCCCCCACCCCTTTTTTTCAAATAGGTTCTGTTATCTGGCCACAAGCAGAGGCATGGTTGCTTTAAGAGAAGACTTCCTGGTTCATGCTGGCTCTGATTCTTTTAGGAGGTACTGCTACAGAGCACTTAAATGAGGTCTGTGAGCAGTGCATTACAAATTGCTTAATGGTGACATAGATCTGCTGCATCCCTGAAGCTGGGGCAGTGAGCATGGCTCACAGAGGTGGTGAGTGTACCTCTGTCATGTTGGACTGAGTGGAGTCAACAGAAAAAGCTGCAGCATTAATCCTAT